CTGACCTCCTTTCCATCACCCCCGCCTGTGACCCAGCGCCCCCTCTTGTCTGCCCCACACTGCTGCATAGGCCACCTTTCGGGGACCCTGCATGATGGGCCCAACCCCACCCCTCTTTCCTTGCCTGCACTGCTGCCCAGGGAGCCTAAGGCCCCCCTGCCCTCTCAGCCTAATTCGCTCAAAAATCCTCCTCCAGTCTGTTTTACCAAGCTCGCCGGCACAGTGTACCCCTTCACCATTTCTTAATTCTGCCCATCACCCCCAACCTGCGCCCTTCCTTCCTCACTGGCGAGCTCGCAGAGCTCTCTCTCCTTTCGTCCCGGGTTCTGCACCCGTCCCGACCCTCACCCTCTGGCACCGCAGCTGCTCCCCTGGGCCCGCCACCTGCCCGCTGACCACGCCCTCTGTCCCTCCCCTCCCCGCCATTCCTCTCTGAAGCCTTCCACTCACCCCTCAGGGTGCCAGATCATACACCCGCCCTGGGAAGGGGGCATCAGGTACAGGGGCCTGACTCGGGACCAGGTGAAGGCGATCAACTTCCTGCCCGTGGACTATGAGATCGAGTACGTGTGCCGGGGGGAGCGCGAGGTGGTGGGGCCCAAGGTCCGCAAGTGCCTGGCCAACGGCTCCTGGACAGACATGGACACTCCCAGCCGCTGCGGTGAGTAGCATCCCCAAGCCCCTCTTCTCTTCTAGATCATTCCTCGGCCTGCCTCACACTTAGCATTATTGCTTAGGTCAGCACTTTCAACCACTGTCACAATTCACAAGGACATTTACAGAGCTCACACCATGTAAGAGGGACTTCCCTACCGCACTTGGAGGCAGTAAAGTCAGCAGCCCACACATCACCTCATCTCATCCTCCCTGCATTAGGCCACTGACCACTTGACAAAATGACTTGATTATTCATCTTGCTTGTGAGTTCTTCTCTTTGAGGACTAGTGGCAGATTGTGCAAAAACCCTCGTAAAATGGTTTCACTGCAGTCTTGAATACCTCTGTCTCCAACGCAGAGGCCATATACCCACGAAGCGAAACCCATTTTGACATTACTGTAAGCCAACTATAATAAGAAAGGTAAATCCAATTGTGCATCTAAAGTTACACATCCGCACTCTCAAAGCCAGGGAACCGCCCACTGCCACTGACTTTGAAAAGATTCCCTTCTGTGCACCTACAGCTCCACCTCAGGTTCCTACCATGGAAACGCCTTTTCCCTTTCCTTGGGTGGTGTGTGGATGCTTCCAGGGTTAAGGGAGGAGAGGACGCCAGGTTTCCTGAAGAGTGGGGTGCTTGAGGCCCCCTTCCCCAACTTGCCTCTCTTTTCCTTTTCGTGTCTCTCCACAGTCCGAATCTGCTCCAAGTCATACTTGGCCCTGGAAAACGGGAAGGTTTTCCTGACGGGTGGGGACCTCCCCGCTCTGGACGGAGCCCGGGTGGATTTCCGGTGTGACCCTGACTTCCATCTGGTGGGCAGCTCCCGCAGCATCTGTAGTCAGGGCCAGTGGAGTGCTCCCAAGCCCCACTGCCAGGGTGAGGGGACCGGCTGCCTGCATGCAGCTGAGGACGCGTGCCAGAGGTTGGGAGCGGGGTGGAAGGGATGGCGGGAAGGGAAGGGGTGCCATGCAAAATGGGGGGGGGGGGCTTTGGGGAAGTGGAGGTGAAAACCCAACTCTTGCCCTCGCCTGCCTCTCTCCAGCCCCCTTCTGCAGCATCAGTGTCCACTTCGCCTACGCTGGGGCCCCCTTCCTCTACCTTCCTCTTTAGGGATCTCCTCCCTGCTCCCAGTTCTACATGTTCTCTTTTCCGTTAGGAATCTCCCCCTCCATCACCTTTCTTAAGGGTTAAACACTGCCGTTTCCCCTAGCCTATCTCTAAACTTAGAACTTTCTAGGCATAACCCTCTTCTACAATTGATTCCTTTCCATTTGTTATATAACTGGATTATTGTAAAGACTCAGAAATAAATCATATCATACTCAGAAAAAACATTAAGATTGGAAAGAATATCTGGGGTGGAAAGTTATCAGGGTGAAATTTAAAAAGACTTAAAATTGGGGGCAGAACTGTCAGAGCACTAAAGGCTGACCCGGGGATGGGGGAGGGGAAAAGGAGGGTCTCGGACAACCTCCGTCCTTCCCCAGGGCACTCAGTCTTGTGTCCAACACCTATTCTGTCATTTCATTCAGCAGAATGCCCCCTGTCCTGGGCACCCAGATTCTGCCCCTGCACTCTTGTCCCCGGGATTCAGGCCGGCCTCATGCGTCCCCCACTTTTGCAGACTCTCTGGAGGTCCTGGCCTGGCTTCGTCCCCTAATGTCATTGCTCTGCTTATACCTCACCACTCCATTCTGGAAACTGGGAATCCTATCCAGGGTCTCTTCCTGTGCTCTAGTAATGTGTTCGCACGGTCATAGCTTTTTGTAAAAAATGCAAAAGTAAGATTTTAACAGCAACAGTTTAAAATCAAGTGTATTTGTAATTTGCAGTTTTTTCTTCTTAAAGAGAGACCCCTGCATTTTATAATATTTAGGCTCCACAAAGCCAGAATCTGCCCATGTCCTGTCTCAAATTCTGTTGTCCTATGAACAATGAAAGAAGAAAACCAACAGGTCCTGACCCACAGCCCCACCTTGCTCTTATCCCCAGGCACCCTTCCCCCCACCCTCAGAGACGCAGGCTTCTGCTGCACGCGGGCCTCCCGGCATGGACAGGTGTGGGAGGGGGCTGGGCTCAGGCCGGGGAAGCCGGGCGCCGGTGGTAACTCTTCTCTGATCCCCGTCTTTCCTGCTGCCAGTGAATCGAACGCCGCACTCAGGTGAGATGACAGCCCTCCTCTCGCGCACTGCACCCCCGAACCCCCACTCGCGCCCCTGCACCCCAGGCGGTGGGGGCCCGTCCTTCTCGCCCCCCGCCCCCGTCTGCGGCCGGCCCCTCCTTCCTACCTGGTTTCTGCCTCCAGTCCCGGTTTTCTGCGAGGCTGCGGTCCCTCCCGACTCCCCGCTCGGCGCCCCGCGCTCGGCTCCGC